AGGCATGCGCTGGCATCTGTCAATCTGGCTTCTAACGTTCTATCTATACAGTATTTTTGCTCTGTTCGTTGATGAATGAGTTGAACACTCACAAGCAAACTGCAAACGACGAAAGATTGCTCAAAAGAGAAGGACATTTTTAGGTTTGGGGTTATACAATCTCTCTGTACAGAAAAGCAATCAAAGTCTGTACAACAGGCATCGTCTAATGAAGTTTGCAAAAACTCTCTGACAGATTGACACAACACATTGCTTCCAAGCAAATACTTGACCTTGTTCACCTTCCTGCGGCTGTTTCGGTTTTGTGGATCGTTGGAAACACACGTGCTTAATTGGATCTGGCTCCCTTCGCTTATCATTTCTTCTGTCAAAGACAGACGACATTCAGCTTTTCCTGCAATCCCAGGCTCGAACTGCTTCTGCTTGAAAAACTCTGGCTTGTGCAAGACTGTGACGGTTCCATCTTCGGAAAGACAATGTCTACCGGCTACCTGTGGCCGTTGGTCATCCATCGATGAGATTAGTCTCTTCCCTGAACCTTTATCAGTCCAATCGCAAAAACACTGCCATCTTGGTTCTAGTGCTTGGCTCTGGTCTGTGCTACCTAGAAGCGAACTACCTGGCTTCTGTCCCGTCGAACTCGTAGGTCGAATTTGGGTCTCTTGTGTCGGACATCTCCTGATCATATGCATGGTAGTTGTTTCAGGTTTGTCATTCCGTCGTTTCAACCAATCTTTAACCTTCTGTTGGCTTCGATCATCATCACCTATAGTGGTTTGATTCTTCCCATCTAGTCTGCATCCCACTGCAACAATGTAATGGTTTGGTCTTACGAGAGTATGGGAAATCTCTTGCATTGAAACAAGTGTTACTTGTCCGGGCAACTCTAAACCACTAGACAGTCGAACCATTGGCGCTGGAGATGACCACAGCGGCTTGCTGCTGCCAACTTCTTTGGAGGGTGTCAACAAACTATAGGTCTTGTTGCTGACTTGGGTCCATCCTATCCATCTCATCTCAGGCCTCCTACGCGACCTATGTGTCTTGCAGACCGGGGTTCGACAACTCCAGACAACATCACATGAATCAAATTCTGAAGAATTCCATTCCATCATGGCATCCTTAGTTCGGGTAAGTGCTTCGAACAACATGACACTCCCTTGTTTCGGTTCCTCTGTCATGTGTGTCGTTGCTCGAAATGCAATCAATTGTCCTGTGATTTCTGATACCCGATACCAGGAGGCAAACTTGTAGCTTGACAGATTATCATGCATGTGACAAAGAAACCATTGCAAACACACATCTGCATGGTTTAGATCGTGTGAGCATCCTTGAGCTTGTTCTGAAGACTGGCTTCGGCTAAACTTTGCATGTAATGTCACATCTTCACCCACACTTAACTTTTGTTCCTTTCTGCCCTGTCCCACAAGTTGCATCACATCATCTTGCCCTGGAAGCAAGATAGCACGAACTTCTTGAAGCACATGCTGAACAACGAAGATACGCTGGCAGCTGTGGATCAAATCCGTTGCAACCTGAATGGAGTCGGGCATTGTTTGACACGCGAAAGAGAAAACAAATCCGTTGGCATGGGCATGGAATTCCGATTGGTTCGGCTTTTCTCTCGGATCTGCATTCAGTCTAAACCAAAAAGAAATTGGACCATACCTATCCTCTTGTGCCCTTGGATCGAAAACTGTTGGCTCCTTTAAATCAAGTCCTCTCTTTGCTGGCGTACAAACAAACCTATTAAGCGAGAAACATTCTTGAGCGTCGGTCTTTAATGCGTGAATATGACAAATCAGCATGCAAAGTGATAACAAACTCAGAAATCCACATAATGCAAACAGCATCTTCTGAAATCCACGAAAACTTCTCTTTGCTCCGTTTTCCATGTGGGGTTCCGAAAACTGCTCTGGTTGTCTTTGGCTCCTGGACGCATTGTGTGATTGCTGCTTTACGTCTCTTGTCAGCGTCAACACACGAGGGTCAGTTCTCTTTGCGACTCCCGACCTTTGAGCTGTCAAGGCATCGACATTATTTTGTTGAGTATTGGCTTCCTGTTTCCTTTCTTTCACGAATTCCTTTGGCTTGTGCACTGCTTGCTGCTTGTCTCGAAAGCTTTTGGCGCTCCTATGCTGTTCATTTGTCACGCTACTTGGACATCTCCTAGCGATGTGTCCACTCCTGCCACACTTAAAGCATAACGGAATCTCCGCAGCATCGGTTGTCTTGCTTTCTCTTGCAAAATTGTTGTGGCGCTTGCTCCCTAGCATGACTTCTTTCTTAGGAATGGTTGTAACTTGTCGATTAGGATCCTGCACGTCCGAATCCGAATGTTGGAAAGCACGCCGACACAATCCTTGCTGCAAAGCATACCTTTCTGGTGTCCTACCTTCTGCCTGAGGACATACCCACTTGGCGTGAAGATCTGTACAGTAAATATCTGGCAACGAACGAAGAAGGATCACAATCTGCTCTGGCTCCCTAACTTCCATGGTGGTGGTTCCCGTTTTGCATGCCACCAATTGTTGTTGGTACAAAAAGTCAAATAAAGTCTGCTGAACTTTACGAATCGTCTCCGGTGTAGCTTCGTGCTCAAGTTCAAGCTTGGCACTTCTGCTCACGTAAAGCAAAAGCTCTGTCTGCGTCTTCACTCCAAATTCTCTGGCTAGCAAACGAATGCATTCATATCCACAGCAATTTACATGGTTGTGTGTCAACTCATGGTTAGCTAACATCACAGTGAATCTCATATGACCTGGAAAGCATTGTCTCAAGATCAAAAGCAAACGACGTGATCTGCTTATCTGAGTTACACTCATTTGGCTCCATGTAAGTTCCTTTGGACTACGAAGTGACCAAAGAATTTCTTTCTGCCATGGTTTGTCTTCTTCACCTGCCCAAGAAGCAAGTTCCTGAACATATGCCGTGAACCCTTCAACTTCCTTTTGTTGTATTCTCCACTCCTCATGATGTGGAACTGGATATGCGGCCAGTTTCATTGCCTTCCTTCGGGTTAGCAATGAATCCCTGTTCTTGCCTCGCAACTGCGTCACCTCTGGAAAACCTTCGGAATCTTGTTGCCACTTTGAGTGCGGATGGTCTACATCAACAGGTTCTACACATCCAAAGTCAAAGCACGGACCTCTTCTATCTTGATGCTTACATTTCAACACAGTCGGCTCCTCTAGTGTCTTACAAGGAAGGGAAATGCTCGATTCCTCAACTTGGATCTCCCAAATGTCGAATGCAGGTGTAAACGAATCGATGGTTTCCTGCATGGATCTAACTAGAGTAACTAGATCACACACTTCCTGTTCCAATCGTTGGATCTGCTCCGCGCTAACTGATGTCCCAGTTTCAACAGTAGGCATAGAAGGAGCTGCTCCAGGATCGGTTGAAGAAACCATAGCTCCGCTACCATGAAGAGCATCTATACTCGATCGCGCTCTTTTCCGCTTGAGCCAATGTAACGAAGTGTACACCCGATTGACCTCTGGTTTCTGGTGTCGGGTGACTTTCAGTAAATGGATCTGTGGATCTATGATATACAGGATGATCCGTCCATTTCCTGTCCAAAAGCTCTGCCAAAAATAGCTTAAAAATGCTACAGCTTGGCCTTTGGTTCAATGTTCTTTACATATGGAGAACTGTCGAGCTCTGCTCTGACAGAGTACTTATATTGTACTGATTCCAAGCAACAAGTCTTCAGCATACACTAGAAGCGTACACTGCAAGATATCACACAGCACGGATGGAGCTTCACACTCCAGGTTTTGACTCACAGCCATGTCTGAATGCCCTTGCCCTTAGGAGAACACATCGCTCTTTCAAGAGAAAACGGGTTTCCACATGTTGGAGGCCGTTTTGCCTGTATGACCAGAATGGCTCTTGAATTGACGATTCTGAGCTGCCTTAAGCAACATATGATAACCCTTGGACACACATCTCGAGTGTTGCCGTGTTTTCCTGGGGACTGAAACCTCGAGAACACATGCCAAATGCTCCATGTCATAGTTAAATATGGCCAACATTCACCACTGAAACCACCCAAATTGTAGACCATATGCGGCACACAAAGGGAAGAGCAAATCGCATGGCCCAAACGGTCTCCTTCTCCACTTGCTTCAAGTTTGAGGGCCTGGACCTCAACCTCAGACTGGACGTCTTGACGATGAAACCAGCTAATTAAGCGTGTTCCAGTATCAATGCCAAGCATGTTTGCTTAAGCCTTTTGTTCTTGCAGAATGACTTGATGTATCTTGATGCTCTTTGCTAGCTACAGGGTCCTTATTGCAGATTCTCTGACACGATCACCATCCTCCAGACCATGCACCTGGGGGTGCGAACCGGTCACCAGGTAGGCTGTTTCCCCAACACCGGTTCACGACACCAGCGACACTAGCTACTGAATTCCATGTAAAAACAAATTACAACAGCGATCCCAAATAGCAAAAGCATGCAACATATTTTTCTGGACACCCTGCATTGGCAGCAGCTCGAAAGCACACACAGGAACCTTTTTTTACACTGGAAAAAAAGAACGCCGCAATACGGCGTGGCGTGTCTCCACTAAGCGCACAGCCTGCACCAGCACCCAGCACCGGCACGCCAGCTCACAGCACCCAGCACCAGCACCACAGCCAGCACCAGCAACCAGCATCCGGCACAGGCACCCTGTCTCCACCACGCGCACAGCCAGCTCATTCTTTTTTGAAGTAAGAACCTCATGGCTGTCACTATCTGGGGAATTGAAACAACACACAAAAAACCAACCCAACAACAGTAACATATCTATTAGGTTGGAGGCCATCGCTAGGTTAGAGGCCATTGCCTGTAGAAATAGAAGAAATACAAACGAATAATAATCAAGAATCATCATACCCAGACACTCCATTAAACTGCCATTTGTGCCTGCCATAGGACTGCCATATATGACCCCCAGTCAACCACCCCTGGCCGTTTTCTCGGCATGACCGTTCCAAACGGGTCGTGTCTGGGATAGAATTGGTCTGTTCCAACGGACGTTCGTCCAGGTGTTCGACGAGTCCTTCGCACCTTTGGGCCGCGCAAGATTCCAACGACGAACTCCGACGAACACCTGAACGATCTTTCCGCATCACCGGCCATCTTTCCTTTCTGCCCCCCCTTTCCCTCCCAACTGTTTGTCTCCAAAAGCCCCCTTTTCTATCTCGCCCGGCCACTGCTGGGTCTTGCCTGCAAGCTCGCCATGCAGCCGTCGCAGCTCGGGCATGCCTTTGTCCAAGGCCCGTAGCTCTTGCAAGGCTAGCCTCAGCGCAGCTGCGCCAGTCGAGAGGAGAGGTGGGCATGTTTTTCGGCTCGTGGTGTTTGGTGGCAAAGGGTGGATTGATGGAATTGTCACAAGCAAAGGGTCACCCTGCTCGTCAGGACTATGACTGTATGGGGAACACACACATGCGGCCTGGCGCTGGGAGAAAACATGAATGTATCCTGACAGTCTGACAGTACTATAAAAATATAACACTTTAACAAGTCTATTTCCAGGAAAATGGCAACTTCTAAATGGTCCATGTCAATCAGTTGGGTTTCTGTCATTGAGCACTCTGTACTTGAAGTGGTTTTGTTGCTCTTAAATCTCGTTGGCCCTCCTGCAGCTAGACCAGGGCCCCATGCATCAGAACTCATGCTTCATCACCCAGGCCAGAAAAGGTGTGCTAGGTAGTTTCGCAGAATCTCTGTCAAACAGTGTCTTCGATGTTTGGTGCATGCTTGGCGGAAGAATGAAAGACTCAATGATAACCCAGCTTCTTCAGTGACCCTACTGAAGTCCCTTCCAGTGACCTTTTCCACGCCTGTTTGTGACCGAATCAGCCAAGGGGACCAAGTTCGATCACTTTGAACCAGGACACCTCACAGTATGCTGTTGGATGCGGATAGCTGCTGGGCATCAACGCAAACGTGGAAACCGGTCTCCCTTGCAATTGGTCTTGATCCCAAATTGTATCAGTATATCTAAGCTGCGCCTTGGATCTATCTCATAGCAGTAACAGTGGATGATGATGGTTATAGTAAAGGGCGTGTTCAAAAAGAGGGATAGCAACGTATAGTACTGGCCCAAGGGCCTGGACGGGCGGGTGGGTGAACGTTCTTTTTCTTCTGAATCAAGGGCCCCTCCCCACCCATTCTGTTAAAACCAATTCTGAATGAACAAATATCAGTACTATGGTGTTGACATTTGTTGACTGTTGATGAATAACCCCCCAGCTCCGGAATGGTTTGACTTGTTTGATCTTTTTTGGTATTCATTAACTGGCAAAAGCCACCCCAGTCCCACAGGAAGACAACGACCGGAGGTTCGGGGGGCAAAACATGCGATTCCCATCCTGCCGAAGAGGTTGACCAAAATCAACAGAATGGACTTTCTGGGGGGTCCACCAACCAAGGTTTTGAATCTCCAAGCTTTTGACCCACGCCAATCCAACCACGGATCTGCTCTCGAGGACAGCCGATGGTATAGAGTTCAAGCACCTGACGCGATCTCTACGTGACCCACTCTCGTGCCACTGCCAGCCAAGCAGCTCTTCTTCCGTCAGTTCATGGTGGGTCTTTCCGGAATCGCCTCGAAAGCACATCGCAAATCATAGAAACATGTAGAACATGCATGAACAGCTACGTAGGTCAGAACTGGAGGTTTGCAGTTAAAGATTGATGCCAGAGCCATTTCAAACCCTAAGGAAGGAATGATCTTGACTCTGACATGGGAAGGCTGAGAAACTGAAGAACCAATTTGTCAAACAGAACAAAGAAAATGATGGCAAATGGGAAGGCTGTGCAGCAAAACAGAAGGATCAGTTCCCAAAGCACTGTTCCTGCCGAGTGGCCAGCAGTGTCCTGCCCGGATTGATCTCCAAGGCCCCCCGAGTGCTCCGCCACCCCGGCGTGTTCACGCCGAGGTCGGGCCCCCCCACGGGGCCAGGCCGTGAGGGGAGGCCGCTGGCAAAGGCAGCACCACTCCAGCCTTGGCGCCAATGCAAGTAACTAGGATCCAAATGACCACCGAGGATAATACCCGCCAACTTCAAGGCTGGAAGTAACTAGGCTGGAGTGGGGTATTATCCTCGAAGTGGATCCAACACTCATGGGCGGGTATTATCCCAAATGACCACCGAACCCCCCCCAACCTGTGAGTAGCTAGGCCATGGCTATGGAGTGGTGACTGCTGCTCACAGCCACTGGCTCCCACTTGCTCAATTTGCTGGTCCCCCCACTAAGAGAAGAAGACACATGCACAATGGTGCAAAGATTGGATCTTAGACCTGAACCATCAACTGCCAGAATATCAGGACACTTGGGCAGGTGCACCTCCTTTGGCTCATGAACACTTGGTGGCTTAGACTCCTTGACTGTCAACCTGGGCTGATCCTAATGGAACACCCAATCCCGGAAAAAGACCCATGGGACTGCCACTGGGTGGTTGATTTCAGGGCTCTTTCTGTCCATCTGCACCCTAAATCTCACTTCTTCCACATGGACCGACCGAGCACTTCAAAACAGATCTCAAAACCAGACCCAATAACTCACATGCGTATCACATATAGTCATTGCAAATGACTTGTTTTAGTTAGTTCCAGGTCCCAAACAGGTTATGCTTTGGGTCTGCATGCCCAGCCGCTGCACCGCAGAACAGCCACCTGGCCGTGGATGGTCTCTGCATGCGGCGGAACCGTGAGCCGTGCATGAGGGGCGCCCAGGACTGAGACCCACATGGAACCCGTAACCGCAAGGACCTGCAAGGAAGATGGATGCGGGGCCCTCCACCAGTGGTTTTTCAGGTTCCATGTTGAAGTTATCATCATCTTTGTCCAGACTCTGGACATCATCGAACATGATTCGGTAGGATTTTGCCTCCCATTTTTCGAGGTCTACGGTAGAAGAAAAACTTCAGTCACCCCCCCACTGAAGCTCACAAAGCCACGCAGGGACGGAGGCCCTGATGCCGCCTGGGTCAGTAGCGTTCGTTGGGTGACCGGCTTTGGAAACCACCTCGTGCTCTGAAACTCGCAGAGTTTTACCTCATGTGACCCATTTGAAGAAACCGTCGGGCAGCGCAAAGGGATACCCTGTCGGAACATTGAACAGTCGGACCCTCAACAAATTGTTCCTGGACCTTTCAGGACCGTACCTTTCAACATGGGAGATGACATGACCCTCTAAAAACTGATACTTGGGGACTGATCTTCTGAGGTACGAACGGATCAACTCAGTGATTGGCATGCAAGTAGTGGTCCGTTGAGTGGGGATTCGGCCCGACGCTCTGAACAAATGGATCGGACGATGGATATCGATGGATCACGAATCCCCAGGTTCGAAGTGTTCTTTAGTGCAAAGTCATTCGGGATGAGCAGGAGGTTCTTGTTTCCAAAAAAAAAGGGACCTTGGCGCTATGCCCTAAGGCCTAAAGGCCTAAGCTTCTGCAACTGCACAAACTCCCAAACCTGGTGTCACCCGCTCTGACCACCTCTCGCCTCGTGCCGGGCTGGCGGATGGAGCCGCCCTAGAGGGAGCCAGAACAGTGGAGGCCCTCCGGTTCCTGGGTGGCGAGGGTCATGGGAATTGGTGGAGAGTCGGAGCGAAGAAGTTGACTATTGTTGTATGTCTAAAAAGGTCCACACCCTAAGGCCCATCCCCTTTAACTGTAGGATACTGCAAGGGGTGTGGTGGCCCAAGTGTCCGCCTATCGTGCTTTTTTCGGAATCCCTGGATGGCCCTGTGGAGAGTTCACATATTTGTTCTTCCTTCTGGCTTCCAACATGTTGTGACGAGCACCCCTTCACATGCAGTACAACTAACAATGCCTTGGCCAATTCCAAATTTTTTCCACGTGCGCAAAAACACTACGAGAACGTGGTGACGGCCCCCCAAATCCGGCTTGGTCCACTGGATTCACCCGATGTCAATCCCAAAAAGTCCACAAAATCTGTTTTTTCATCCCTTTTCACTCGAAAATACAAATCCCGAGGTCCATCGAGTTCGTCCGTCGGTCAGCACGTCCTCTTTCATATATATCTAGTGTCTGCCGAGCCTGGGCCAATTGCATGGCTTCCCCTTGGGTTTGTGTGATCAGCCAAATCATGGGCCACACCAAAGAGAGGTGGGCCACACCAACGTATTGTTCTCCAAATCCCTCAAGATCAGGTGATGTTCAAGATAGGAACCCTCCCGAGTCCCATCCCCGCATCCACTGCCACTGCCGCATCCGTCCCAGCTTCGTGGCTTGCTCGCTCGGCCGTGTCGACAGTAAGTCGCCCATTTGGTGACGCTCGGCCGCCTCGTGCCTGGCCATGGCAAAAGTCTGGGGTAAGGAGGGTGGAGGGGGAGTGAGTTCACTCTTGATTAATTCACAGCCCAATATAGAAAAGGTTTTTAGGTTTTACAATCCAAATGGGAGGGCGTCTACATAGATTAATTAGGGTGGTATTTGAAGATGTTACGTCTTTTTCTGGGCGCGTGCAGTGGCCGTGTTGCTCATTCCAACAACATCCGACAGCTGTTTTCAAGCGAGCACCACGGGCAACATGTCTACGTTTTGTGGGCGGAAGGAGGTGCTCTCCTTCAGGGACTCCTCTTCGTGATCTTGATCGTCTCTCTCAGCCCTGTCGCGCTCCCAGAAGGGTTGAAGCTCTAGTGCTTGAACTAGATAAATGGCTCTAGGATGCTCTAGCTAGGGTAGAACTTAATAGCCGAGCTGCGTTCACGAACTCCTGGCTTTGTGTGAGACAAATGAACCTCACTGGATATTATACAAATCAGTGGCTAGGAACTTTTGCCAGCGCGCTGCTTCCAGGTGCCCCACTGGCACCGTTGATTGAGCCCCCACCACCTGGATGCCTTCCCGATCGAGAGCCTGGGCGTCGTGCCCCGCCTCAGCTGCAGCTGCTTCTCCGGAGGAATCCGTTGGATGTCGCTGTCGCCAGCTTCGCTTAAGGGCGCGGTGCACAGCGGCGTGGCCGCGCAGTAGAAGCGCAGCGTCGAGCGAGGGTCCTGGGAGCAACGAAGAACGGCGGGGGATCTCATGGGATGGGACACACTTGACCAGGTATGTATGTTTATGCTGGATATTTGTTTGGGAGGGATATTATTGAGATCAGGGCTCGAAAGGCTATAATTCAGGGCCCCAGAGCTGCGGTTCGCTAGACCACACCCATGCCGCCAGCAATCACAAAGGGATAGTTTTGAGTCGCGTCCAGTGAGTGGAGTAGCTGGGCACCCCGACTTCCTCCAATTCGGCACCCCTTTGTGATTCCTGGGGGTATTTTTGCGGGTATAGTACTTGATGAGATCATCCAAACTGCAGAAGGGCACCCAGATCCTCAAAGAAACGTGCCCACTATCGTCATGGATTGGACCCTGAGGCGCAAAAACACATGATGGAGACTCATTGGATCTTGGGTCGTTTTCAACCAACGAACGTGCGTTGAAACAATATCCCAGCCCATGGCAGACGTGCCCTCGCCTTTCCCGTGCCCTTCGTTGCATGGCATGCGCCAGGCGTTGCCAGGCGTCATGGAGGGTGAGAGTGATCTTCAGGTCGAACTGTTGGTCGAAATCCACTGGGAATAAGTTCCCCAGCATCTCCTCCGCACCGGAAGGGCCATGGACCTGGCAAACGGAGGGCGACGACTTATCCATGGCAAACGGTCCGACCTGGTGCTACTTCCATCCATCGAATCCGCCGGCCCAAGAGATTAGCAACGTGAGTAGAGACTCCAACAGGTCGCCCAACCATTGTGATCAACGAAAAAGACCACCCCCAAAATATTGAGGCGGTCTTAATGATTCAATAACTATAGGCTTCAAAATGATACCTGGCCATTTAGATGGTAAAACCATGTAATAACCTCAATTACGAGGGGGGATTGACGAATCTTATCGAATCTTAAGAGTCTCATGACCTACGCAACCCATGGGACTGCCAGGATGGATGGCCGATCAATCAAGCCAGAACCCCGAGACCTGGCACCACCCCGAACGCCCTTCTTCGCCCTTACGCCACTCGGGCCGTCCGGCAGTTTCGGACAGGTCGCGTAAGCGGGTCATGGGGATGGTCCCAGACAGGACCGAGACCTCGGGTCCTTCGAGGCGAGAGGTCGGTGAACAGGTCGTTTGTCCGGTCGTCTCGTTTGGCAGCTCTCACCGGTGGAAACACCAGTGACCAGGCGGTGTTTAAGGCACTGTCCGCTCTTGTTGAAGGGAAACATCGACCCACCCCCAAGAAGGGGTATGTCTTGCATTTCAGGCTCCAAATAGGCTAAATCTAGTCTAGTCTATGCACCTCTAGGGTGGAAGTGTCCGCAAAGGCTCAACATCTGAACCCCCACGGGTGTCTGACCGGGACGACCGGCCCACCGAGGTGGCGAGGTGCCAAAATCGCCGTAGCACCACAAAGCTTTGTGGGCGCACGCAGCACGTGGTCTGTCTCATTGGCGCGTGGTGGGCGATCGCCTTGGGAGATGCGAAGGAGGAAAGACGAACACAAAGACGATGGTTACGTGGATGGCCTGGTGTGGAAGATCTCCCCAACAGGGCATTTGCCACTTGTTGGAGTGTAACTTCCAGAATGCTCCTCCTTCACCTGCCTCGGCAGATAAACCTGATCAAGTTGTCCAATCCATCGGCTGCAGCCGATGTGTTGGAGACCCTAGGCTCTCTGGACCCCAATGTCTATACCCACCAGGAGTCACGTTCGACGGGATGGTCTTTAGTCCCGAAGTGAGTGGAGTAGCTGGGCACCCCGACTTCCTCCATGGATAGCCTACCGTCTTGTGACTGCATGTGGAATTGAATTGTTTGAACAGACTCAGGCCATCCTGAATCAATTGCTCCTCTGAGGTCTTGAACAAACTCGATTGAATAGTTGCAACATATTCCCCCCAGAATTCCTCATGTCATTGATCCGTTTGAGCAACTCGAATCGCATGGAGCGTCTGAGAGTCGACGAATCGCTGTCTGACAAGTCTGGACTCCATGCCACTCAGGCACCCCAGCACAGCTCCTGCGATCGGCTCTTCGAACGAATAAAGCCCACCGCGCAGGCGTGCCAGCTCGCATCGTAGCTGTCCAGTGCCTCCAGCAAACGGAAGATCCTCAGGACCGCTATCCGTGCGTCTCTGGCTATGCTTCGGTGGATGGAACGCTCTGGGATGCTTCGGTTGATGGCGCCAGATGGCATGCCCTAGGGCTCCTGGCCCGCAAGCTGGTGAAACCAATTTGTGACAAATTTTTGAGGTGCAACAGCGCAACATTTAAAGAAAAGAAGTCCTACCTGTAAGACAAAGGGAAGAAAGAAAGCTTGAAGGCAGGCGTTCCCAGGGTGTATTCAAGTGTATTCGAGAGCAGTTTAAGCAACACATCTCTGTGCCGCGTGACCTGGGAGGCACCTGAAGATGGGGAGTTCTGTTCGACGGAGACAGGCCCACTTGGGGTTCTTAGGGATGTTGGCGCAGGGCACGGGTGGTTTGGGGTGACGGACTTCGGTCTTTGGACGTGGACATGTGATCGGCATGGCGCGTGCATGGCGCGTGCGTGGGCACATGCATTTCTCCTCAATGCCGCCCGAGCCAGCGTGGAAAACCGGGGAACGCGGGGCCGAAGCCATCCATGTATTCTGCATCATCCTCCACCACCAGAAAGCATTCGTCAGGTGAAGCCTCTTCAATGATGCCTGAGCAGCATGGTGCGAGGCCACAGGTTCCGGCTTCATGGCTTCAAGCTCAATCCCAATCATCAGGGACCCAGTCATTCCAGTCATTTCAGAATGTGGAGCACTAAGTAGGCCGGGCCATTGCACTGCAGTTCTGGTAGGTTGCCCGAAAGCTCTCAGCTTTCACGCCCCCAAACTTGGAGAAGTCACGATTTGACACTCCCTGGAATTAAATGGAATTTAGATGGAAGTGGAGTGAAAACCCCCTTGTTTGGAGAGGAAAATGGTATGGGCCATGCCATCCACTTCCATGTTAGTTCCAGGGAGTCTGACCGTAACCCTAAGAATCCAAACACCTGACAGCTTCGCAGGCGATGGAGCCTCCATAGCGATTAAGCCCCCATAGACCCTCTATGTTGGTTCGTGTCCAGGTCCTCAGGAAACAAGAACAAGAAGAATAACAAAAACAAGAAGAAGAAGAAGAAGAAGAAAAAGAAGAAGAAGAACAACAACGACGACGACAACAACAACAATCACAACGACAACAACAACAACAACAGCAACAACAACAACAACAACAACCTGTCCGACTTCCGAACTCCAAGACTCTTTTTTGGGGGGAAAGGCGACCATGGCACCTGGGGCGAAGAACCAAGAGGAAAACCTTTGACACGACTGATGAACAGGGAGAATGGACCTTTGCACTAGACCAGATCACCAACTGAGATCTATCACAGCCCGGATCCCAACCCTCGAGGTCGCTGACCTGGCAGGTCGAGACCTTCGCTGGACCCCCAGGGGGTCGCAGGGCCCCTCGGGACGTACGCTCCAGGATACGGCACATGACCTCGTACCAACTCAGCCACAGGCCTATCGCGCCAGGGGTTAGGACGCGGCCAAGCACAAAGTCCTTAGACTGAAGTCGGTCCCAACCCGGAAAACGAAGCCATCAAAACATGAGGTGTCCCAATCCTGGATTTGGAGCCCCCCCCTTATGCCACGTACTAATGGGAGGATAAAACCAAAGCAGCACATTAACGCATCGTTTTCCAACGACCTTCTCGCCTACTTCATGACCATACTATCTTCATTTCCCGCCGAGTTGACGGGAGACTCAGCAGGAGTGTTGCAAGAGCTTGACATTTGTATCACCCTCAATAGTGCCAAAAAGCTGGACCTAGACCATCCAAAAGCAAATCACTTGGATCATTCCATGTCCATTCAAGTTTCGAATGTCTGTGCCTTGTTGCTTTTAACAAGCCAAAACATAATGTATCAGGGCCCCCTATAAGGGGTGGTTAATGGACATCCCTTAACCTCTAAGGAGCTATAATTGGACACCCCTTGGGGGGCCCTGGTATATATATGTGGAATCTGGATTTCCTCACCCCCCTTGGGCCCCTTGAAATTCTAGGATTGGTCTCCGCCTTGTTCATCCCCGGCGGGTCCCATCCGGCCTCTCCATGCCTCTCCGTTCCAGGCAACTCCAAGCCTGCACCCCCTACTAGCTCCTACCCCTATACTGCTCAAATTAAGAAACTAATTTCTTAAACATTCTTAAACAAGCGCATTATGGACGGGATGGTTTATATAGATGGATATAGTTATGGACCTATATGGATGGTTTAAGTTTATTGTCACCCTGAGGGATGTATGGTGTGTTTTGTGAGTCTTTTCCTTTAAATGGGAAACGGTCGCTGGCACATCGAACTGGAACCTCCAGTTCAAAAACCCAAAACAGGTACTTGATGGTACTTGGGCCCCCCATGTTGCCAGTCCCAGGTCGACTCCAGGACTCCAGGCATACAAAAAAAACTACATAGATTAGATTAGTTCAACTATACCAGGACCCTCCAAGGGGTGCCCAACGGAAGCCTATAGGTAGTAGTGTGGGGCAGTCCAGCCAGGACACCCCTTGGAGGGTCCAGGTAGTTATACAACTTGTTCAGTCCTTCGACCCGCCCTGTCTCGTGAACCGTCCACGTGGTTCTTCCAGTGCCAAGCCTCCGGCGGGTGCTCGGCCTGGTGCCGGCCCGCCGCCGTCAGCACGTCCTCCGGCACCGTGGCGAAGTCCAGCTCGGCGCCGTCCACCGCGCCGAAGCGCTCGCTGAAGTCCTCGTGGCGCGGTGGGGCTCCGCGTGGCGCGGAAGATCCGGCGCGTGCGTGGCGCAGCAAACAGCGGGTCTGGACTTGGGTCTGGAAGACTTGGGGCGGTTGGACTGGGAGAGGTTGCTCAGAAAGTGACCAAAATGAACGACTGGAGTCGCTAGGATCAACACTCGATCTTCAGGACCAGGAGGCTGGACCGAGGTCCGGGCAAACGGGTCAGACTGAACCTGTAGGACCTGTACCTGGACCCCCAAGGGGTGGTTAATGGATATCCCTTACCTATCAATAGACACCCCTTAGGGGGTCCTGGTAGTAGTGAACTTGATGGTCCTTGCTCTGAAAGCCAGTGGTTGCGATTTCGCAGCTGACAGGGCAACCGTACGAAGAGCTGCTATCCGATTCTGTGTTTGTGTGTGTTCCCGTTTTTTCTCACCATGTTCGATGGCTGGTGATGTGAACTGAAGGTCTGCAAACATGCACGCGCCTGTGCAGTGCTAAATGCAAGCCGCCGTCCAGTGGGTCAGAATCGAAGTTAGGGGCCTTCGAGGTTCAATCTTGGGCTGGGACATGACACTTGGCAACTTGGGAAGCTGGTGTTGCTTTTGCTTCCCCTTCCATGCAGGCACTCCACGGGAAGTACTTTTGCCCAGCTTTCCGATGCACACATATCAACCATCCTTACTATAAAGCCAAGTGAGTCAGTCGTGCTTTCTGATGTTCGGTCTTTAGCGGTGAAAACGAGCTATCCCAGCTTGCTCAGCAATAGGACCACACGCGTGCATATATTCCTCTGATCTCCCTCCTTCGGCTAGGGATGGCTAGGGCACCTAGTCTCATCTCAACCCCAAACTTGGAAACATTTACCCTACAAGTCCAAAGACCCAGTAAAATAACCTGGTCCTTTCCCTTATTGAACAGCGTTTTTGTATGACCAACGTCAGTAAAATGAGGTCATTGACTTGTAGGGTTTACATTATGCCCATGACGAGTCCCTTGGTCCTGCAAGTCGTGCCTTGACCATGAGCATTTTTTAATAGAGGATATTGCCCCATGTAAACTGATAGTGGATTGAGAGGTTTCTAGGCACAGGGCCCCAGTCCAGGACGGCTGTGCCATCTACTCGGAAACCACTGTGTTCTCCAGGACCCACCGGCATTTCTCGGCCTCTTGGCCTCTCACATCCGACCAACGAATTCAACCAACAAAGGTTAAGTGACCTGAACTAGGTCCCTACCAGGGTATCTATGGGATGGCCTATAGATCTTATAGTGTTCTTCAACCTCTGTTGGAAGTCATCAGGGGACACCAAAAACCTCCCATCTCCCACCTCCCCCGTTTCAACCCCCGGTCCCCCCGGTTTGGCGTCCTCCAGTCCGGCCGCTTCCAGTCTCCTGAGCTGCGCTTCGGCCCGATCCTCACGGCGATCCAGGTTGATCCACAGGACTTTCGCCAAGGTCGAGGGCGCCATGGCGGAGCACGTCACGGCCGAGGGCGCTGGTGCTGGTGGAGGGCTTTAGTCTTTAGTCCGGGGGTTGGGGTGGAGAGTTTGGAGAGGTGGAATCAACGTTCAAAATAACACCTGGGAGAACAAGACATCAAAAAGCATACAGTTCCACCAGCAGTTCCTTTCAGGGGTGCCGAACTTGGAGGACAGGGGTTCCCATTGTCCACTCACTTATCAGGGACACAAAATACGAACTGCTGGTCCAGATTATCTACAGTAACAGTAAAGTAGGTTGATTAGTTGGGTGCCACAAGGAATTTGTATAATATATGGATGATGTGGCCAGCTAAGGAGGAAGGGAGGAGCAGATGGGAGCTGGCATTGGCCGGCGAGAGCAGCGGGCACCAAAATCCCTCAAAATCCCAGGCTTAGCACTTGACCCATGCATGCGTGGGAAGCAAACAGTTTGCAAGTGAGAGAACCTGGAGATGGCTCCTACTTTCTGTAGGTTGTTGGACCGTTTTTTTGGATAAACTTTGGGTTAGGAAGCCTGAGAGGTCTTACTTCGGAGTGCAACGAGGAAAACCACATGGACCAAGAGATGACGATAGAGATCTATAGGTCTTTTGCACCGTTATGCTTGTTGGGAACATTGAGGATCCAGTCCGTTCCATTTCCATGTCGTTCGAAAGCTCCAGAATAGCTGGTCTTCATCGACCGTGCTTTCGCAGCTGCGGACGGTGCGGACGCTCATTGTTCATGTTCTTCGTTGACGTGGGACAGCAAAGCCAATGGATCTAAGAAAACTATGGCAACCAACAGGACCTTGAAGGCCACCTCATTCCTTACATTATATAGAACCCCAACTAGTTAGAAAAGTACATAGATTCCCACTAAAAATATAGTGGAAAACCGTGCGACCACCTATTTGGTGACCGACATATACTAGTGGTAAGCTAGGGTCCATTGGGGGCCATGATCGGGTGGGCGCCAGTTGCGAACGGACTCTTGGGAAGCGTTCCCTGCGTGAAGACCAAAGCGGTGAGGATTCCTCGGAGACCTTCTGCCAGAAGCCCAAAGCATCAATCTCCACACCTTCAGGTCGTGTGAGACCCTTGGCATGTTCTTAAGAAATACATAGAAATGCCTTCTCAGAAAAAGCCGGACATCCATGTCTCGGAAGAAGGTGGTCGATCCATGTCTCGTTCGATCCCACCGGAGCGGCTCCGGTCCTGGACCTCCGCTGACGTTCGGCCCGGCCCAGGCCTTTGGTTCCAGCGAGGCGCCAAGTTGCCGTTCTTGCACACCTCCGTCCGACCGACCACCTGCGCCGGTCGAAGCGGTCGGTCGAGCCCAAAAGGAAGCCCAGAATCCCAGAACGCAAGCAAAACAGCTGGGCATCACCGGGTCTGACTCTACAAAGGGAGTGGAGGGATGTTCAGAATATGAATCCCTAGGCCTCCAGTCGTACCGAACCGCTTCGCTGGGACGACCGGGGTGCCAGGATGTGCCAGGGTCTTCGCTCGCTCAGGTTCGGACCTGTCCGGTTCGGAGAGACCGGTTGTAGCCGGTACAAATGGGGGCCGCAGAAAGGCTGTTCAACCTTCAACCGAATCAAGGGTTAGGGGGTGGTTGACACCCATTCATCTCAGAAAACGATTCATTGGACACTTGGACGCCTCTTTTTGAGGGGCTTTGGATGCTTTTATAATCTTTTATCTAGGAATCTGGCCTCCCACGCTCGGAAGCGAAGCGCGACGGCCACGCGTGGAGTGGGGCCGTACACGATCCAGGCGGGTAGGATGGGATGACCACCCCCATGCGTCACGCAGCGTGACATCCCCCCAAGACCACCCCAAAAGTAATTGGGAATTGAGAGTAGATGGCACAGACCCCAATGTCGGTGGTTTATGTGGATCCCCATCAAAAGGACATCATGGGGTCTGTGCCATCGAACCTCTGAAACCACTGTATAATTGGCCAATGTTCCCCCCAAAACCATGCAGACCGCTCGGTCGGCCTTCTCGGTGCCATCCTCATAGCCGCACACCTGGGGACGAGCTTCGCTTCCCACGCACGGTCGTCCGGACGGTCAAGATCGGGTCGGCGTACGCGTACGCGGGTTGATGCCGGTGGATCTGCCGCATCTGCCGGAGGGACATGGGTTTTGACATGTAAAAAACATGACACGACCTGCCACGACCCCCGTTTCGGTGATTGGTGCCAGGTGGGTGCCAGATTCTAAGATGGTCTAACCATCTGAGGAATTTTTTGGGGGGCCAGGAGCCCTTTTTGGAAAGAACCTCCAAAAATAGACGGGATACTGCCCAGCAGGGAGGAGCACGGTGCTTCTTGGATGATGGTTCTTTCTTTTTCTCCGTCAGGGCCGAGCAGTGGGGTGTCTATAAACCACCCGTGTACCGAGACGCTGGGCAATGCTGAACTGCCCTACCGAGACGCCCGCCCTTCTATAGGACAATGAGTGGCAACTCGAGTTCCAAATGTACAAAAGGATACAAAAGGCTGAATTGGAGTAGTTTGGGTGAGTGTGCTCTCCAGACCAACGTAGAACGTATAGAAGCCGAGTGTGTGGGGTTCTCTCAACGTAGAAGACGTACATGTGCACGGTCATTGATCCATCTTTCGACTCATTGACCCCGCCCAAGAGTCCATTTCGACTCATGGGCACCACTTGGGAACAGGTCCTCTAGACTCTAGCCATAGGTCCCTTCAGTCGGATGGCCCACTGGCGTCCAGTCCAAGTCCCCTTCGTCTCGTCCGCTCCGAACGCCTCGAGCCTTCCGCCTCGATCGGGGTCCCACCCCGATCACTCGACACCCCCCGCACGGGGTCTCCCTCCCGTTCCCGGCGCCGAACGAGGGGGGAGGGGCCGGGCCGGACCGTCTAGAGACTCCAGAACATCGCATTCCACAAACACTCCACCTATACGGCCCCCCAGGTTTAAGGGGAGTCCAGCTATATAGCTCCTTAGGAGGTGATTTGGGATGTGCAACCACCCAGGGCCCTGGTAGGTCACCCATTCCTTCGAAATGGAACCTGCTGGCTTCTCCACTCCTTTTCTCCACGCTTCCTGTTGAGCCTTCCTCCACCTTTGGGAGAGTCTCATCACCGTGTCTCCATGTCAGAGTGACCACGAATGCACCAGTCACTCGCATCTGATCACTCGCGGAGTCCGATGGCTAGAGGCCAACGGACGGTGATCACCCCCGTTGCAAAGGTGTGACAACTGCAGACAAGGTGTGACAACTCCGCGAATCTGAAGTTCGAACCAACCAGTGATGAAATTGACTCTGAAGCGTCTGAAGCCCTAAAGCAACAAAAGCTTGATGGGCCATCCGATCCTGAGATCTGGAAACCACTGGCCAAAAAGCAAAACAGTGCACTGGCAAAATGATGTGAACAAACGACAACAACTTGTTGGACTAAACTCTCATTCTGCCCCAACAATGCCATCCCATGCTCAGAAAGGAACAACTCGCAGCATCATTTCACACCATGTCCACCGTTCGCCCACGTCGTCACTACTCGGCCTCGAGCATCACATGGCGGCACCTCGAGCATCACATGGGCGCTGCTCTCAGCCCATAGCATGGCTGCTGGCGTTGTTGGCGGCCTCCACCAGCACAAAAATCGCATGTTACTACAGCTGTATAAATATACAAACCTCACATAACCTCACTAGACTCCTCACGGCTGCTCTCAGACCCGCGTTCCGAACCGGACGTCGGTGATGTTCATTGCGACCGTTCGTGGTGACTCGTTGAGCCACCTTCGCGGAGTCACTGAGTTGCATGCCAGTGGTCCACGGACTGGTCTTATGACTCGTACTACCTGGCGTCGGGGTTGGGGTAGGCCTGCTCCATGGCCAGGTTCATGCCATGGCAGCTCGTCGATTTGATCGCGCCCATCTTCATGCCTCAACAAAAGCTGCTCCCCGCACGGCTGCAAAAACGCAAGAAGCTGTGGGAGGCCCCGTCAGGAGGGAGGCCACTGTGTTCTTTTGAACGGGCCTCTGGTTGTGTTGAACGGTCCACACCCTAGCTCGGCACCAGGAGTTCCAAAGGGGTGGTTTGGGGACACTGGGTGGATCATGGCCACCCCTATTCGCAAGGGCGCCCCTGTGGAACTGTTTTCGCTATGCGCGCCTTCGAGACGCATCTCGCGCACTACTGCGCTGAGACTGCAGGGCTGCTTTTGACGCATCATTGAAGGCACCGGGCAAACCAACGGGTCACTATTTCTGGATGAAAGTCATCCCCAAGAGTGGAACTGTTCCAACACTCTCCAGCTTCCGGCGGTTCCGCTCCGTGGCTTGAATCCAACGGTGGTGGATGTGTTTCCAGATCACCCACCCTTCAGACCTGCTTTTAAGGCAAGCCTTCAAAGACCTAGTGGAAACCGCTTCTAGTACCAAAAGACATGTTTTCGGGGACCCTCGAGGCCGAACGTGGGAAGACGTCTCGCCCATGCCAACGAGTAACTCGGGGAAACACTAAGAACTATGGTTACTGCAAACAATGTCTGGTTTACCCAACCCAAAGGTGTTCTCTGTTCCTGTAGATTCTTAATGTAGCAATCCTATTCCAAGCGCCGCACAAGCCGGGATTCATACCCTATATCACTCATCCACCTCATAATGCATCCAGTGGCCAACCTCCATGTCGGCATCCACTGCCATCTGATACTCGCGCTGCTTCAAGCGGTCCGCCAAGTCTCGTCGTGCTGCCAGAGCGTCAGTGTCTTGGAGCACCATGTCCTGACAGGTGGACCGACCAAGGGTGGCAGGGTGGGGAGGAAGGAAAAGGAGCCCCTAGTTGCGTCCTTGCTCCTAGTAGTACAGCCAAGAGCCTATAGTAGTACGGCCAGGAGCCCCTAGTTGCGTCCTTGCTCCTAGTAGTACGGCCAGGAGCCTATAGTAGTACGTACGGCCAGGAGCCCC